CAACAGTGAAGACCCAGCAGTACCCTAACTTTTTCCAGGATATGATCTCTTTGGAAAATTAGAGTTTTGGTTTGCTTTGTTGTTGCAGTTGGCCAGTGACTAGAAAGAATGAGTGACAAATTCAAAAAAAACGAGTAGTAGTAAGTTTGTTCCTGTCTGCTGGTTTCTGACTTCAATACTACGAGTTTCATAACAATTGCACACTGTCTTGCCAGAGAGCAAAAAGTTTTTATTTAGTAAAGTCATGAACTTTTGCTTGTACATCATGTACYGGGTTCTACTGAGACTGGATTTGATTCCCATTCAATCATTTAATCTGGCCTTACAACCATGAATGCCATCCAAAAACTAGCTCAGTAGCACTGAGCAGAATTGCTACTATGACATTTGAAGTTCTAAACTTCGATAACAAATCGAACAAATCGAAGTTTAGAACTTCAAATAAAAACTTTTTGCTTACTGGGCAAGACGGCGTGCAATTGTTATGAAACTCRTAGTATGGTAGCAAGTTGTGGTTAGGAGTAACTTTCCATCCTCGACGTACTACCAGATTATGGAAACTCCACGTACACTTGAAGCTTTTATCAATTGATTCATTCAATCGAGTACCTTACTTATTTATAGCACATTGATCTTACAATTCTAGAGTTCATTGAGTGTTACAATTCGTGAGAGAGATTATTGCTATGCAGGATCATGCCTCTTAATATTTTATTGCGAATCAATGTACTTGTAGTTCTCTTCAAGCTTTTATCAATCAATTATTCCAGTAAGTATTTTTTTGTATATAGCACATTGATCATACAGTTCTAAAGTTCGTTGAGTGTTACAAATTCGTGAGAGAGATTATTGTTATGCAGGATCATACCTCGAACTATTTTATTTTGAATTATGGTACTTTTAGCTCTTAAATCGTCAAATATTCTTCTGTGCACAAAAACGTGCCGGTAAAACTTAATGTCTCTTCGTCTTTTTATCATGTATATAATTGCTTATAACATGTCGTAATCTGACAGTAAACAAACAGAAGATCATGTTCTATCCAGCCGCTCCCATCTTCGAATGTTTAAATATTGATATTTTTCCACATTCCTCGTCTTAAATTTACTGTGTTAYTTAATAGAARYAAAACATTTTATTTATTGCGCTGTTGATCTTCCAAAGAAAAACTGAATGCTATCAATTAGTTCGATGAATGTGAGAAGAATCTTGCGTTTTAAATTTTTATWTATAATTCGATTCATTTTTGTTCCAATCACGTACTAATATTCATTTAAGGAGACGTCGATACAATTGTCGACCTTATTTAATCATCCGCTTTSATCTTAAMGATTGCATTAAACTTTCCAACTATTTTATTTTTTAAACTCCAATGAAAACCTACATTGATGCTGAGTTGTTATTTCATAAAGGCCCAATGCTTTGCTTAGGAATGTCCCTAAAATGAATATTGCACGGTTGTTCTGACTGCCGAATACGTAGTCTAAGTACCATGATTCATTGCAGTCGTATTCTTTTTTTTCTTTCAGACTCCCTGTAACACGCTGTGTAGGGTACCCTTTTGATGTTCATCTTTAATTTTTAGAGTAATGATACCGTAGGGCACTATATTCTTGAAAAGCGATGCTAGTGGAAACATTGTTGTTCTCTGTTAAACTTCGTCATTCTTCTCTCGGTTATTTTACGTCGTCTATTACAGTGTCTTGTCGCACGTGAACGGAGTTCGACGTAACTGGCWAAATTTCCTTGACTGTCAATTAGGAACACAACTCGAACACCTTTAGGGCACACACCTACAAGAATATTCATCTCCCTTCAGTGAGACAACCAAAGATACACAATAATGAAAAGCATGACGATGYCTTTCACAGACAGTATGTCTTTTGACAAAATGCTCAGAGGTAACACTTTTGGCAACCCCGATAGAGTCACCAGCAGCAACCGCGTTCCCTTTGACGATGACGATGACTGTTACGACAGYGATGACCTAAGTAGAATTAGCGTGTCCTCCGAGGAAAAGAACGCCATTGCGGAACCACCAGCCCATATAACGGTTGAAGATTCCCTCTCGCAAGAGATGATGAAACTATCCACCAATGATCGTCAGGTCGTTGAAGAAGAGGTTCACGGTGTCCATTGCATGTGCAATTTCAAYGAAACCCCCCAGTTTCTGAGGCAGAAGTTGCGTGAATTTGACATTGAACTCAGTGCTGTCAAGAATTCCGATAGACGGCGCAGGAGGCAAGCACGTATTCGAAAGACTCGAGAGAGCAAGAAAAGCGGAGGTGAAAATAAAACGTACACTCGCGATGAAGACTATGACGTCCTGAAGAATGTGATTGAAATCAGAGACTACTTAGAAGTGATAGATGAAGAAGAGGCAACTTCTTTCACGACGGAAAAGGCGCCATCTCGGTCAACTTCTTCTTCTTCCGTCACCACAGCCTTTCCGGATGGCAGTGATGTCGATGAATGCGAAGTTAAAAAGAGATCCTGTTGGGTCAACGATCCCGATGTTCGTCTTCGGTTTTTGCGTTGCGAACTTTTTGAAGTAAAAAAGTCCGTTAGGCGTTTTGTTACGTTTYTGGATTTCGCCCAGGAACTCTACGGAGACTTCGTTGCGGACCGGCCCATGCTCATCTCGGACGTGAATACAAGAGGGGAAAAGCGAGCTATGGCCAGGATTCAATTTCGCATCTTACCCTTTCGAGATCGGTCCGGGCGAAGGGTCTTTGTTTCTATGGGTTCCTGTGGATATGATGTGGAACCGAAACTGAGGATTAAGATTCTCTGGTACATGTATTGGATCGCCAGCGAAGACTTGGAAACCCAACGAAAGGGCCTAGTCATTGTTGGTTGGCCATGTGACGAAATCATCAACGGCGCTGGCAACACTAACAATCCTTATTTCGGTATGGCTGAAGATGATGGGAAAAACAGCGATGCAAGCACAATTTCGTCACTCGACGATGATAATAGCGTGTGGGAACGATCACTACGACCCAACATAGCAAATTTGGAGGGAATCTATCAAGCAAAAGCTATAGAAGGCCTTCCGATTCGAATAACAGCCATTCACTTTTGCTGTCAGAATCGTCCGGTCTACCGAATCTTGAATTCATTGTTCTATTTTGCTTTGAATTCTAACTACAAATCGAGGTACAAGGTTCACATAGGTGCGTCATATAGGTATTAAGGTGTGATGTGTGTGTGTGTGGTCAGTGCGATTGCCTTCTATCGTTTTCAACTGGAGCGACACTCAAAGACATCTGTTTTATGTTGTTTGCAATCAATGYGATCGTTACCAATATTCCTTCTCTTGCCTTTCTACTCGAATGCATATCTTTTCACTATAGGAGAACCAATTGAAATTAGGTACAAGCTTCAAGGGTATGGAATACCGGTAGATTCATTGCCGGTGACGCACACGATGACACTGAAGCGTCAAAGTCATTTACAGTGGATTAATTTCCGAAAATACGTGGAACAAGGTATAAATGGCAACGCAAAGAAGAAGAATTCTGATAAACCACCTTTGCTCCTCGACCCAAATGACATAATCGATTGTCCTAGATCRTACGATGTTATTATCGGTAAAGCCAAGTACACTAACAATCCAGGAAACGTCTTTTACAGAAGCTTAATTGAAGCGACACACGATGAACACATTTCTTTGACCAAACGACAGAAGGTCGATATGACGTGGAGAATCGTCCGGCAAATGGARGAAATGAACGGTCGGTTTTTAGAGATGAACAAARAACTGAAGGTGTGGGTGCACATCAAGGATCGAAACGTCATGAGGCAAAAGGTTGCGCAATCCTACAARGAATATAAACGCAATACGCAAGTCCTTCGAAGTAAGAGACAAAAAGAACATCAAACAAAGATAGCGAACAGTGAGAAACGCCAAAGGACAGAGGTTCCTTTCATACCAGAATTCGCTGTCGCTGGCACCGACTGTTTTGCGGGATGTATGTCGCCTTCCATTAGCAGTATAGAAGATGATTTTGCCCTTCCTTCTCACACGAGTTCGTCGATGTTTACTGGCATGTAAAATGCTTGGACTTCTTGGTATTTGCACAACGAGCAATACAATATAAACACCACTTGACTAAAGGAAAGTACATTATGTGGCCAAGACAATGAATGACAAATTTTTGCTCGCATGGCACATAATGCGYCATATCATTCAACGTTAGGTAATGAAGGTCGATGTATCAATTAAGCTAATTGTGGAGACCAGTTTGATGCTTACTGAAGCCTCGTGCCAGAAATGTTGAGCCTTCTGTTAGAGATAGTGGGTGAAGTTTTCAAGCGACGGCGGTAACAATGACARCGATCAACAATATGCACGGGCAACCATACCCCCAGRCGCCTCTCGCAACAAAGCAGAATTATTACKCTGAGCATTCATGGTTKCATTACATAGACCTTACTGATCTTCAACACATGGATAATCGTAGTTCCAACATAMTTTATTAATTTGATTAGGGGTCACTAGCACGGTTCAAATGATTTACAGTGATATTGGCTCAATTTATATTTATTTCTACTAGTCTAGCAAATCGAGCAACTTTAGATAAAACGTAGAAGAACGAATAACGGTAATCATCCATTGATCGACGTATTGGTACTACCACCAAAGTCAGAAGTATTTGATAAAGAAGTTCTTTATTTTATGACCCCCTCACTGGTAAACAGAAGCTACACAAAGAAACATAAGTACTTGTTTGCCTTTGTTTTGCATTGGTGTGTGAAAGGTGCTGTCTAGACAAAGTTATACATGGGGTGAGAGACCATTGTTTGATATCTGGTGGCTTTCAACAAAAAAGCTGGGATCAAAATAACACTGCATCATGTCAGTGCAGGAAACTCTATCACCACCTTCTTGTTTCTTAACAATGTTAACTTCACATTCCACATGTTAGCAGGCAAC